ACGGCACACGCGGATCCGGGGTGATCTAGCGCAAGCGAGCGAAAGTTTCTGAAACACTGACTTTATCGTGCAGGTAGCTGCAAAGCCTCTTCAGCACCGAGCAAGTCATGCCACCAGCACAACAACTGCCAAGACTAAAGACGCCAAGGCGTGAACATCCCCATCGGCAAGCCACAAGGCACACGCGGACGCAAAATAAAAATTACCCCAAAATTAGCACAATCTTAGAGTAAGCCACTAGCCGGCAAAATCAGCTATCGCGTTTGCGCCAAGACAAGCAAGTCAGCCGCTCGAGCTACAAGACTTGGAGACGCAGGCGACCTGTGCTAGGTTTCGGCGAAGAGAAGCTATGATCACAAGCTTCATATGTACCAGGGGTTGTAGTGTTTGACTTCGAATGGGCGAAAGATACGCCGAACATAAATCAGTCGTCTCTCGAGGCGCTGCTTACGCCGGTCCTCGAGATCTTCAAAACCATTAGGGCAGGCCTAGACATGCGGCATAGCCCAACGGAATGCAGGAAAAGGACAAGTTGCTGCGGTGAGATATAACGCGATACAAGATGCCTCCAGGAGTTTTGAACAAGGCAGGAAGCATTATCATTGAGTAAGAAAATGCAATCTTCAGAGGGAGAGATCGAGCCATGAAGAACCCATATATCAGCAGTGGGACCATGTCAGTAACAGCACTAGCCTATCCATAGAGGAAGAGAAATCCGGTTTGAACGAGAAAGAATGCGGGTTCTGAATAGGAAAGGAGAGCATTAAAAGGATCGTACTGATGGCTGAGCGAAATATCGAAGAGGGTGATGTGCAGCAACCCAAGGAGGAAGATATGGAATGCATGACCCGAAGCCCTTCGAACAGGCTTAATGCACCGACCAGATACAGATACAAGACGACTTCCTTTCTCTACCATGGTGGGGATGCGTGGTATCGGTGGGGAATGGATACCCTTTCCAGTGTCTATCTGATACTTTGGGAGGCAAGGGTCGAGTGGGAGCGCTAGGTGCCACAGTGCAATGGCAAGAAGTTCGACCTTTGGCCCACGCCAGATCCAGCTGGCCGTTCCTCGCGTCGACCTAGTTCTCAGAGTTGGCATTCAAAATCATCAAGGTCTACCTCGGCCGTTAATCTTAGATCGCTCTCGAGGATGACTGTGCTGTACCCCCTGTGGCTGAGGCTCATGCATTCTCAGCAGTGATCCAGTCACAACTATGTGGTTGAGCTGGCGTCGTCCATAGGGATTCCCCTTGCTGGTTTGCCTTGGCGGGAACACGTCGTTTGAGAGTTCAAGACATGGAAGCTGCAAGGTCCAGAGTGGTGGTCTAATCCACTGACTGACCTAAAAAGACCTCGGCGGCAACGGGACAAAGGATTTGAAAGCTGGTACTTGAAGGAAAGAGAATTCAGGACAGAGCCGCACTACATCACCAAGTGGTGAAGGATATTAAGAGAATTGACACTCAGCAGGCAACAATCCTCGTGTGCCAAGATGTACACGGCCTCCAAAGTTACAGAAAGCTTGGGCCAATTACGCGATTGATTCAGCATTCGCAGAGAGTAAAGCACAAGCAAGAGCCAGGACCTGAGTTGCAGATCCCCCTCATGGCCGCTTTCGAGAATAGATCCGCCGCAGACGATGGGGATATACGCGCCTGTTGCTAGAAGAAAGCTTCGAAGAGTTTTAAAGAAGGCAAGAACTGAAGAAGGCTGCACGGTATAGCAGGTCCGCGGAGTGACGTCTTCTCATAGAAAAAGCTTCTATGTGAGAGAATGCATGTTTAGGAGCATTGAATCGAACGCACTGCCCTCACCGTGATCTGCCGCTAGATGCCCGGCGTGATCCCGTGGACAACTACAACCATACTATCACATTGGTACCAGGCAAGTAAGGGCAGCACCTATCTTACAAATCAGAAAGAGCTTGGATCACTGGAAACGAAGCTGCAGGGCCTACAGGTCAAGAATTGGTTATGCTGACTTCCCCTACTTTCTCCCCTCTTGCCCATGATCATGGGCAAGCAGGACATGGCATCGGTCTAGCAACAGTAGATCATGATGAACTGAGTAACGGAACTATTTGCCATGATAATTTTCCCTGCTTGCACGATATCCACAACACAAGAGATGATAGGAATGCCGCATGATCCCTAGATGTTTACGACGGTGGACGAGGCATGGTTATCAGCTTATACGCATGGCACTGGGAAGTCAGTACAAAATTGCATTTTGCACCTGTATGCTCCAGCATGAGTTCAGAGCTATGCGTTTTATCCTATAATGAGATCCAAGCACCATTCAAGCGATGAGCTATCATATGTTTCTAGTCTGCATCGCAAGACGACTTATTGTCTGCTTAGGCAAAAATTTAGTCCATAATGCTAACGACATTTCTCACTGCAGGCGTTTCGACAAAATACTGGCAATTTTCTGGATCCACCAAAGGTTTCTTAGAGTCAAGAAATGCTGGTCTGACAGCTCATCAGCTGAACACGTCGGATAAAGGTGGTAGCAGACGTAAGAGCGCCCATCCCGCCGAAGGCAAAGCTATCGAAATACGGCCAACAGGACTTCACAGCGCCACTTAAGTGAATCAGCTTTGAGATGTGAGTTACTGGCGTCTGCTTACGGAATCTGTCTTCGCCGGCTCGGCGAGATTTCTTGTGGAAGTCACGAAGCGGCGGGTGGTAGTCCAGTGGACTGAGAAGCCAAGAGCAGTGCTGAAGACCTCACTCATTTCACAACTGCACACTTCTGGACCCAATGAGCGTTGGATTCTGCAGTAAGGAGCATCAGCATACGCAGTTGACGGAGTGCTGAAGCAAGTTCCAAAGCCTCTGTGCTTCACGAGTGTCAAGATATCTGATGATGAGCAGTGGTTTGCAGTATACGGCAAGAGGTTGTTATTTGCCCATATAGTCTCTGGAGAGTGGCTTCGCCTATTTGTTTTGGCAATCCTTACCGCACACGAGGCTGAAAACTCACCGGGCCCTGCAGTGGACCTAAACTTAAGAAGGGTCTAGCGTCCGCACATGGCAAGGTGGTTCGAAATCTGCGCAAGCATTTAAGACCTATGCACAGAATACAAGCTTCTAGAGCTAGCACCGTGCTTGCTGATAGACTTCGGCAGTGCCCCTTCTTTTAGCAGACCAGGGAAGCATTCCAACTGAGAAAGAAGCACAAGTGAGTATGGGTATGCCATTCAGACAGCACATGAAGACTAATCTGCCTCACAGTACACAGCGGCTCTCACATTCTCTCCCGTTAAAAACCATACGATTCGTTTTAGCAATTCCACATTGCTGCATAGGTAGTAGTGGCTGCAGCGAGGCTCAGACTTTGCATGCGCCCTTTAGGCAACGCAAGCTAACACATCCTACACAGTAATGGCAAAAAAATAGTAACATACCTCAAGTTAAAGCTCCTACTTAACTTTGCTAGAGGTCAGCATCAAAAGGCTCTCACACCTGAATCCCTCTCAACAAAGTCCAACTCCAGTACGTCATGCACCAAGTACATGAGCATCCTATTGCAAGCCACGTGGGTATGAGAAAAACATGCGATATCTTTGCCAGATATCCCATGACCTGGAATGGGTAGCTGAGTCAAGGCAGTTGCGAATCCTACCCACACTGAAGAGCAGTCAAATCCATGTTTACGAAGCCCAGCGGCCTGATTCTGGCAACTCTAAACAGACGCTGGGAGCAGGTGGCACTCGACTTTTTTCACAGTGGTGCCCCGCACTGAAAAAAATCCATGTTGCAATTCTCACCTTGGTCGATATCATCAGCAAAATGGATCACTTCTAATTCACCTGCATTAATCTGACAGCCTCCAATGCCTTGGAATTGCTGGCCGACCTTCTAGTATGGTGTAGTGGGCTGGCAGCTGTGACAGTCTCACGCCGTAATGCACATTTTGTTTGGAACTCTGAGAGCTCTCCCAACCTACGCTCAACAGTAAGCTAGTCTTTTGAAGTGCCTAGCACCCCCAATCCGATGCCTAGATGGAACGCTTTCTTCGCACGTCTCAGCAGATCGTGCGCACGTACTCCAACCTTACAAATCACCATGGATGTCTCTACTTCCAGCAGCACATCTAACATGCAATCGTACATCTCACGATCTCACACGCGCTTCACCTGGAGGTTATGATGGGGTCAAATTTTCAGCGCGTCATAAGCCTGTACATTTTCAGAAGTTTGAACCTACAAGATCACTTCCCATGACTCGAGCCCCTCGCCGGCTGGTTGACCACCCAGCAACTCAATTCCTGGAAGATCAAGCAGTGCAAACGCACTTGGCATACATGGGCATCCACTCATCTCATGCACTCGCGCGAAAACAGCCAAATTTCATGTTTGCTTCACTGGGTTGTTCAGATTTCTCCAGCGTATTAGCAAAGCTGCCTACAAGCCTCAGCTGCCTCTCGCCGTACTACAGCATCCTCTATTTCATGATTCGTACTTACAGTGTAAGCAACCACATCCAGATTCTATGCTTTAACTAGAGAGGTTGGAGCCGTCAGTTCCAGGGTATATGGTGTTAGACCGGAATAGAGGGTTGGAAGCCTATGGCAAGGCCACGAAAAAATTGAGACAATTCTCGGGCCAAGCGAAAAAGGCTTCGCGGAAGGCACAGCGACGGGATAAACCCGAAAAGAACTACCACGACAATTTCGCCTCTAGCTGTCGTCTTTGCAACTGAAGGAGCACTCGTGACACTTACAAGTATAAATCAAGAAGTGACGCGTGTCCATGATCTAGCAGGGCCCTTAACCTCTAAATAGGCCAGTGAAGATTCAGGATCGTTTGTATCGTGCGATTTCGCGTGACTAAAATCACTGGGAAAAGGATGCTCTTCCAAGCCCTAGAAGTATGTGGTATTACTCAATACTTAAGCTTAAAAGGCAAGCTGGCCCCGATTAGGGGCAGGAATTAGGAGTGAACAAATAACAGTAAATTACATTTCAGCTAGCTGGTTGTGGCTGAAGCAGGCCTCAAACCCAGCGGACCATTGAGAAAGCTATTACCCAGTGGTCTCCACTTAACTTCCACATAATACACACAGGGACTATATTTGCCAATTGAACTATCTCAAAGCTAGTGTGCATAGAGTTGGCCGTTCCGTCAATGCAGCGAACTGTTTCCAGTGACAAAGACTTTTGATATTGGTGCCGGGGTCTTACTTGCAGGCGCGCAGCAGCTATGTCCGTGAGGGCACAGGGGTTGAAACCGAGATCAGCCTCTGAGTGTAATTGTTGAGTACTCACATTGATATCCGAGTGGCACAAGGCTCGCTTTTTATGAATAGATTCTGCATAGCTTTGGGTACTTTGAGCAGAATGGTCATGGGTCTGGGGATCTATGAATGGGTGCACTTGATTCGAATTAAATAATCTTGCTACTTCATCCTGTTATGAGCACTTCAAAATCTGCCCTAACCCATTAGTTTGGAGCTCTCGTGCCGGTTAGGGTCGCAGTCAAGGCGCGTGCGGCTTTTTTCAGTCATAGGGCCTGCACACCTGCCTTACTGCTAATTTTAGGCATGGTGCTGATACGCCATCTCAGCGTTCACAAAAAGCCCGTGACTACAGTAGGAGCTTTACTGTGACCTTCAAGCGTAAGAAGAAGAAGTAAACAGCCACCAAAATTTCCAGCATTTCAAGTGCTATGAGGTTTAAAGCCAAAGGATGCTAAAATGTGCCCGCTGCTAAGAGACTAGGGTGGTGGGACCGTGCTTGCTCACGACTGCCCCCGAAGCTGCGCCAGTCATCTTATGAGCCTGCGGCTCAGCAGCAAAGGATCAGCTGTAGCTAGTTGGCGGTCGAGCTTTCGTTGAGGGCTCGCGTCTGCCAAGGGCCCGTTTTTGGTGCGACTGGAGTGTTCTAGGGAGAGACCTTTGAAATACTGGTGGCTCTGGGCGTAGCGTCCGATGAAATTCATCTATTGACCTCCAGAAGTCTACCAATTGGTGGCTATGAGTAGCATTACTTTAGTGGTAGAGGTATTCTATAGCTGGAGAAGATGACCATAGGCCACTAGTGTGACTCCTGTGAATTTAAGATTTTCTGCTGTAGTTAGTTTATCTCTGGAGTATTGCATTTAGAAGAACACGGATTTTGAATGCAAGATAATGCACGTCTCCTTTAATACTAAACGGAAAAGAGTCTAATTCAGTAATTGCAAACAAGTGCTGTTCTTCAGTATACTTCTTCGAACTGCAACCCACAGGCAGCTGCTGTTACTGGTCCAAGCTTGGTTGTAGCGAGAGTTCCACTATGCTTTCTATCAGTCGTCTCTGTTCAGCCTGACAAAGATGGCTTGGTAGCTTCATCCGTTTGATGCAGCCGGCAAATAGTACAAAGTACTGCTCTAGGCTCTGGCAGTTTTCAGCTCGCTCTATCTGCACTAAGTGCCGCTGCAGGATGTTTGTGTAGACTGCATAGTCTGATGGGCACATTCCAGGAGCAAGAGCAGCCAGAGAGCGCTTCCGTAGATCTGCCAATAGGAATAGAATAGCCTGTTTTCCCAGAGACAAAGGAGTTGCTGAATCTGTCTTGATACAATCGTCTCCACCCTGGAGCAAGCAGTAGCACATGCCACATGGTGCTTGTATACCTATTCAATCGGAAGCCATACGAGCATCTCCTGCAACAAGGAATGCTTACACACCTACAGTTGAGCAGCATATGCATACCTCTTCTGCCTGACCCAGCGCTGCCTCATTACTTGCTTCTTCCCACACTGAAATAGGCTTAACAGTACCGTCTCCCCTATCAACCTGCTCAAAAACATTGAAAACTTCAGTGCTTTGAAGTTGCTCGTCTTTGCAAGAGTGGTATGCAAATAGGTAGATTATGTTGTATTTTTTGTACGCAGGAGTTCATGGACATGGAACAACAGGCGTCAAGAGCTTACGCTGTTGGCGTCACAACAGCCCCACCCATCTGTAAATAGGAAGCATCCCGCCTTAAGAGTAAAAATGGCTTCATCGCCTGGGTAGTACCGGCTGCCGTCTAGGGGCTCGTTGCGCTGCAGTATTTCCAGCACATATTTGTTCCAGATATCTGGTAGTCCAGCATCTAGCGAATGATGGCCATCAGTTTTGGATATCTCCGACATGGTACCTTCGCTTATCTCAGAGATTCCATGCAAGCCAACATCCCCTCGCTGTCGTTGTTTATGCTCTTTTGTGCTGATTCTCGTTGTAGACCAAAAGCGTTCCATTCGCTGACGGGTGTCAACGGCAAGTAGTCGCGCTCCTAGAAATCCAAAGTGACGAATGGGGAAATACTCTGCCCGGCGCTTCCCAGACTGCAGTAGCATCACCAGTGTCTTTGAAAGCAAGAATCGTTGGCATAAACTCGCAGTACAACCATGAGCCCGATACAGATATGGGGATACTGGTACTTCTGAGATATGTAGATTGATACCTCCTTATCCGTGAAGGTGCACGCCCATCGAAGCTGCTTCTTGTCGAACCAGACTCCGGGCACTCTCGTCAGGCGCGATGCCTGACGTATGAGCACGCGAGAAGGCTGAGGTGTAAGCATCGCAAGTACAGAGTACTGGGGCTCTGTGGAGGAGGGATGCAGAGAGGAACGCAGCCGTAAGGATGAAGCAGTAGCTATTCTTACCAGCCGTTCACAGGTGACTTAGGCGCTCAAAAATGCAGTCACAGCCAACCACCTTTTTGGGCTTTAAGCTTAAGATGTACAATTTAAGCCCTTACCGCCACCGACAGGCGCCTATCTCGCTCTTCGTCATATCCAATGTTGGTGAAAGCCTCATGCCGGTTGAGCTGACTTCTTTCAAGTTCTTCGCCAGTGTTACTGATGGCTGATGAGCAGTCACTGGGACCTGCTACTCAAGCAACGAACAGTCAGGCATTAAGCTACCAAGTAAAAAGCTTGCCCTCTCATGGGGGTAATGCACTCAACACTTAAGTTAGGTGTCAAAGTGTCCATACAAGCTCTAGGTAATTGACGCCTCACGGTCTGATGTTGAGGCGGAAGAACCGCACATGGCTTCGTCCTTTAGCCCCTCCAGATGGTCAGCCGAGGGCGAAATATCTGCGATGCTGCCTCGTTGTTCGGGGTCACGATGTGTGACTTTCGGGGCTGGTTCTGACTCCAAAGAGGGTACGCAGTCTGGAGGAGGGACTAACCGAGTACTGAGCTTTTCCACGCCTGCAAAGTTCTTGATCCTAGATCCTCTGGGCACATGATTCGACAGTCGAGTATGTATTGCTAGTAATCTAGCACGGTCGAAACCGTATCTTCCTGATATATACACATCCATACCAGGCGTGGCAAGGCTGTGTAAGACGCCTGCTTGACTTTTATTGCCTACCATAGAGTAGCCACGCCCGTGTTCTCTTAAGAAGGAGACATGGGGAGTATTCGAGAAAACTTCAGTTTCTCTTCATGCTCACCAATAGGAAAGTACTTAGCCTTTCTATGTCCTGAGATGTCATACCACGTTGCCTTCCACCTCAAAGAATGCTTATCAAAATGGATGCCTGGTGTATAGTGCAAATGGTATAAATTATGCACGCTTTGACGCTCATAGCGTTGTGGTACAATAGGACCTGAATCTGCATCAGTGCTTTTAGACCCTAACGAATCGAGTAACCGTGCTTCCAGTCCGCCACGTTGGTCTCCTGCTACATTCCAGTCTTCGTTTGCCCCCAGGCGTGAAGCGAAAGAGTTAAATGATTCTGCCGCAAGGCCAGCATTTGGGCTTTCTCCATCGTAGGGGGCGCACATGGCTCTAGTACCTTGAAGGTACAAGGGTGACGCGGTTACGGCCTGAGCTCAAGAAATACCTAGGCCGCACGGGCTGGCTACTGCACAGGTAATTCTAGGACCGCTTACACTGTTGCACACGCACGCAAAGAGAGCGGTGTGGACAGCAAAAATGTATAACAAGAGCTTATATGGTTTCGTATGTTCTTTTTCTCCATAGGAGCAGTGGATCATCTGGTCCTCTGAGTATTCACAGCTAGATAAGAGGATCAGCCCTTGCCCCTTGCGAAATAAGAAGACTAAAAGAGAAGCCATCCACGCATCTGCCATTTTGACTCAGCACCATGATGAAAGACACTTACTTTGCTCTCATGATTCATCAGGGGTCTAATAGAAGCAGACACCACGGAATCTTGAGCAAAGCCTTGTTCTTGTGTAGTTGATAAGACAGCGGAGGGATTCAGTTGCTTTTCCGTCCTGCGTCTTTTGTTGCTATACATGTCTGGCTGTGCTGGTAAAGCTACCGCAGTTGCATTTATGCTGGCTTCCACCTGGCGGGAATCAGATTGAGTAGGAGCTCCAAGTAGCATAGTGCTTATTTCCTTCTGTCGTGGAACGCAGTGATCAGGTGATGTAAAGGCAAGAAGCTGCCCCAGCTCTTCTGAGCCGTGTACATATGGCTTCTGCATGCTAGCTGAATAGCACGGGTTGGTGGAGATCAAACGAGGCTCTAAAATTGTTTGGTTATCGAACCTTTCATTGTCGTACACAGTTTCTGGATGCCAGAAAGTCCTCTGGTCTACGGTGGCCGTAGCACTGTAAGGCCACCGTGTTAGATTTGGCCTACAGTGGAGTATGCCAAGTGGCACGCGGTGGGTCGCCTGCTCAGTTGTTGCAGGACTGGAATTGCTAGTATCGGACGTTGGTTCAACCGCTTCTACCTTAGCAATTTGAGGAGTGGTCAAGGATTCCTGCCAAGCTGATCCCAATAGTCTATTGCTGCAAGGAGCACGGTACAATGTTGCAGGGGCAGTACCTGCTGTTGCATGCGCGGCACTCTTTGCTGAGGCCATTTGATGGCTAGTCGACTCTGTGAGCCCTATAGTGCCTGTAGGAGCCGTAGGATAAGGAGCGCAGCTCTTTGGGGTGCCATGCCACATATGACTATGAGTAATAGCATCGCTTGATACAAGAGGCTGCCTCTGAATTGGCAAAGCGACTTTTGGGCCTGCTGTAAATGGTGCTATGCTTATCCCAGAATGAGTACCGGAACCCACGCTGTCTACTGCTCTGTTGTCAGCACTGTTGTCATTCCTGGTGATGCCATTGGACAACTCGGATGCATCTGAATTGGCTACAGATAAGCGAATAGCCTCCATGGAGGTGGTCTTTGTGGCTTTGAAGCTCACGGCCATATCATACCCTTCACGCATGCCAAATAGCTTGACTGGAAAATACTTAGCAGCTCTCCGCCCATTGTGGGCCCAACCAACAGACCATCGGAGCTGAAAAGAAAAAGAAATCAAACGTAAGAAGCAGACGGGCCATATTGTGATTCAGAAGCTTGCACGCTAGCAGACATATCCAGTCTTTATGAGCGGTGAGGTAGCCCACATGAGTGATGCCAAAATTGCTTGCCACTTAGCTCTTGGATGCAGTTCTCAACAAGTAATGCATGGTACGAACAGCGGTTCTCTACCTGATGCTTGTCGAAATATATGCCGGACACCTTGGGGTAAGCAGCGGCTCGTCGAATAAGAGCATCTACAACTCGCGTCCTCTCTCGTTTATATTCTTCCTTTGGGGCGCCCCCGCGAAGCTTTTCCAGATGATCGAGCCACAACCTGCCGTCATCAGCGTTGTCGAGGCACTCCACACTTCGCAATCTGCTTCTATCTTGGACAGCTCCTACCTGCTCTTTCCATTTATTAATCGTGTCGACGCTTCTAGGATTTTCATGAGTAGGGGGCGACTTTCTTAAAGGGCTGAGGAGTTCCTCCTCTCGCAATGATTCTGAAGCATTTAACTGTATTTGCATTTCACCGCAAAACACCTCTCCACATGTGGCATTCCACGGATATGACAAGCGCGGTGCTGTCTTGGCATTCATCTCCCAAAGTGATGAGCACATGCTGGTGTCCGGAGCAGATTGAGCGTATTGTTGTGTGGCCCGGTGCCGAGCAACACAGCTATTTGATCCAAAGGGGTAACATGACTCTTTATCGACAAGCACATCCGAATCTTCTTCCGCGCTATTTTGTAGCAAATCGTTAGGCGTGTCTATGGAACCTTGAACTCTCCCAGGAGTAGGAGATGTCTCGCTGTTGCCTCCTTCAATGGAAGACTCATCTAAGGGAAGTAGAAGTCTTTTTTGTGGGGAATACCTGTCTTCGGGTAGGGCCATACAGGGTGGCCTTTCAGCACCATCAGTGGAGTCGTGCTTTGCAATGTACTTCTCGATATGCCCAGCGCTCTCGCCTGAAAGCAGCGAAGGGTGTCCAAGCCAGGGACTTCCCTTTGACGGTGAAAGGTCGTCTCTTGACGGCCTGATAGGCGTGGGGGCATTGGAAACGGTGCACCCTGCAGGCGACTTTACAGGGCTACTAAACGGATTGAGGGGCAGGTAGCAGCCCATGCGAGATGATAGACTCTTGTTGTTCTGCTCAGGTATATGCTCGGTGAGACAGTGCTTAGAGTCACTAGATGCTACATCTGCCTCAACGCTGGCAGAAATCGCTCCAAAAGGAGACGATCGCCGAAAGAAATGTGCTCCTTCATAAGAAGGGCTGGCAGCTGTGACGCAGGCCATATCTCTACTCGGCTATCTAGGACAATGCGTAGACCTTGTGAGGGTGTAATGGCACCTTATATGATGTAGCACTGCTCCTTAGACTGGGATGAACTTTCAAGTTACGGCAACCTGAGCGAGCAAGGACCCTAGTAGACAGGGGGCAGGGATTTAAATCAGGAATGATATAGGGGGAAGTCTGAAGAGCGGATCCAACAAAATCCTTGGAACATCAATGGAGTCTGCGACCAACCCGATGCAACTGCTGGACTAAGATAAATTGCTGATGTGCAGGTCACCGAGAGCCCTATCAAAGTAGCTAAAAAGCAAAACACTTGGGCGCTCTAATTCAGATACGCTGACGAGGAAGATAAAAGTGGCCCAGTGCTTTATAAAAAGAGAAGCAGAATAGAGCAGATCGTTGGGTTCCATGGGAAAGCATACATGTCTAACGCGTACTAATGGCCTACTGTGAATGGCAGGTCCACAGAAATAGTGGCACTGCGTGTAGCTATGCCCTCTATCAAAAATAAGCACTGCCTAGCGTAACTAGGCCTAAAAATGAGCTGAGGAAAGCAAACACTTAAAAAGGAAAGACACCACCAAGTTAATCCCTCTAGTTTACACACTCATGTGGCGAACTCCAAGCGCGTTACATGGCTAAGAAGATGTATGTCCCAGAAAAAGCTGTAGCCAACGTCATGTAAACACACCCTGAAGCGGCGAGATGTTTCCAAACCAATTGAGCAAGCAGTCTTCGCTCAATTTAGCGTTAGCGAAAGGCGGGGCTGCCCAGCACGCGCATGCATGCGTCATGTGAGGTACGAAGTAGGTCATTGTAAAACCCCGCCAGTAGCCACTACTTGGCAGAATTTGGGAATGTAAGGATTTGTAGAGCGCTCTGCATTGCGCGACTCAACCTTCAATAGCTGGCGCAGCCGTATGCTGCGTACCTCCTGCGCTATTTCCATTGTCTCCGCGTATAGACCCCAAGACCCAGTGACAACCCGATCTTGTAGTGGTATTGACTGGTGAGATGAGAAGGTCCCAAATTCTTTTAGCCTAATGATGTGAAAGCACGTGGGAACCACGGAAAGTGGCCTCTATCGTTGGAGCCCCCTTCATATGGTTTTATAAGGCACGACGGAACCCCCATCAGGAGCCACAGCCGTACGTTGCACATCCCTCCAGCTATCTCTTGCTTTGCTTCCCAAGCATAAGCAACTAATAGCCTATTCTTGAAATGGCGACTACTGAGGAGCTTCGGTGCTGGCGTGAGCCTCTCCGCTGCGCTGGGGAGCAAGCTACAGTAAATCATTTTCTAGTGTGCTAGTCATATTCAACTATAAGTGAAGGAAAAATTCTTCTTAACTTTTAAAAATATTCTCTATATTGCCGACCACTGCTAGCTCGGTACAAGGGGACTCGACGTGTGTGTGTGTGTGCTAGACGTCATATCCTACTGGCTGAGATTGCTCGGAGTGCTTAGAGAATGCAACTTCACACACCCTAGCTGTCCCATTCTTTGAAGTACATATTGAGTTTTGACTTTAATGTGTTCCTAAAGACCTTGGCTGGAGCTTGACAATTGGTAGCATTGCTTGGTTCATGACAGCTGCTTCCCGCTCATCCGCTGGCTAAGGATGTGTGTGGGTGTCAGGCTTTCCAAAAAAGTTTTCTGCCGTTGATCAGTCTGTTCGGTTGCTCATTATTTTGGTTTCTTTGGCAACACACCGGTAGGCAAGGAAAATCCTTGGGGTGTGGAAGTTTGCTGTAGCGCTACGCCTGTTGGGGCAGCAGACGCCGGCGTGCAAGCTGATGTGGACAAAGTACAATTCATTCGGCGGAAAAGCTTAATCAGTTCGGGCGAGAATTCGCTCATGGATGCGTCGATAAGGGCATGCCGTCCGAAAAATTGTGACGGCCCTTAGGATGGGCTAGTACCCTAAGGTTTCATCAGCTGGCTGGAAGTACACTAGCCTCGCTCTTGGTTATCCAGATTACGAAAACTAAATGCTTCTTGCAGGTGGTGTACTGTATGCAGAAGCGCATGAGCAAGATTCCTCTATTTATGTAGAGGAAGTCGTATGCCTGTAGGAATTTCTACAATCCAGGCCTTTATACAAATCCTAACTTATCAATTTATGCCGTAATCAGCCGAACAGCGAGTTTTCGGAGAAAAAGAAAGAGCGTATAGCGCGAAAAGGTTGCAACAGACTGGCATATCAAAAATAGCTTAACTGTGGCTCGCAAGAGCTATAACGTGGATGAACTGCTGCCTCTTCAGTGGCTCATCTCAGGTCTACCAAAAGTGTAATGCCGTGTTGGCAAAGGATGAACGACTCAGCAGTTAAGTAGCCGACCGGTAGGGCTTCCGCAATGGTGGAACACCTGATATGTCAGAAACAAATAAGCGCAGTGTCTGCTCCTCCATCTGAATAAAAGGAGTCATATTGGCATTTATATCCTATGGATGTCGGAACCGCTCCAACCGGCCCTAGCCTAGTCCAGAGTAGCCGAAAAAAAGCCAGAAAAAACTTGCCCTTCTAGGTATCTCACACAGCCCCACCAGCCCACCGATTCTATTGTAGCAGATGGGGCAACGCAATACAAAACTGCAAAAGCATGAAAAAGCCAAAAAGCTTAAGCAATAGGTTACGCCTAGAGAAGCCAGAGTGCTTGGTAAGCAACGAAGGCCCATCAAGTGAATGAAAAGCGCTATGCTCAGGCTGCAGCGCAGCGAAGGGGGCTACAAGGGTACAGAAGCTATTGGGACACTACCACACTGAATGAAAACTGGACTTTGGATCCAGACAGACCCTGCAGAAATCCAATTTGCCTGCTCACTCGTAAGCGCAGTCCCTTGTACTCATTTGCTTACGGGCGGTAGCCCGCAAGGATCGGCAAGGCTAGACATTTACGTGCTATTCTAAAGTGTAGTTAGATGTCGTCAGCGTGGTCTGGTTCACTTGACGTGATCCTACGTTTTGTCGTGGGTAAGCAAACGGAAGGCGCGCATGCGACCACAGCTGCTAAGGCTAGTGTGCCAGGAAGTGTTAGCAATGAGCAACTCCTGCTCTTCTCAACAATGCTTATTTCATTTATATAGACAGGGTAGATTTGTCACCTCCGCCAGGTGAAGCACAATCTTCATGTGGGCGTCTCAACAGCAGGCTGAAGGAAGACGGTTTCAAGCATGTCTCCCGTCTTACTGATATATCCGGCTTTGTTGGAACTTTCAGTTAGTTTTCAGCTGGGAGGCAGCAGGACCCGACGAATTCAAGCGCGACTTCACGGACGTGCCTACAATGAGGAGCTGCCAGCAGGCCGGCCACATGCTGCTTTTCTGCCATAGCGAGTAGCCGGAGCTACCCCGAAGCTATGTTTCGCGTGATCGAAAGCCCCAAGCATGAAGAGGCGACTCAGTGGCAGGCAGATAATTTGTTTAAAAAGATAAAGTGCACGAGACAACAAGTGCTTTTGGAACATAACTCGGTGCTGGAGGCGAAAAGGGGCGCAACGTGAGGCATGCGCGCAAATATAAGCCCCCAACACTGTGAAGCACAAACTTCTGTGTCATAGAAGCGGATAACCTGAAACACTACGCGAATCCTTAGTTCACTAACCGCCTACCCTAACAGACACTTTCTTTACGCATCTTTCTTCACCCTGCTTATTAGTGCAATATGGCATTCCACACTCCCACTCGCAGACTCTAGTGTACGTCTATACCGCTCGCCGTATTCATGCCCTAGTTGTACTGTCGTGTCATGCCTATTGATATCTTTACGAGGCTACCAAGCAGGGCTGGATGGCCGTCTGCATGGACGACACCTTTGTCTCAGCTGAAGCTATCAGGAGGACTGATTGCATTTACGATTAGCCCTTCAGCTGCTGTGGAGCAAGCAGTGGTACGTGAAGGCGATAAAGCTTCTGTTTTCTATAATGACAAATGCCTTTCTGGTGTTTCGTGTTTCGGTTGTGGGAATCCAGCCAGATCCCACAAAAATCAAAGCAATGAAGGCGCAACCTTTTAGCATTAACACGACGCACCAAAGTTCTAGGAGTTTGAATCTTGATACCATGACATTGTTTTTGGATTTGGGCTGATGGTTGTTTAGTTGGTAGGTCTACTGTCTAAAAAAGGTGCAGACTATGACCTGGACAGAAGAGGATGACGTGCAGCACGGACGCTTTCCGGCCACGGTATATGCACTTCACAAGTTGCTCTGCCGGATCATAAGCGTCATTTACTCCTAACAACCAATGCTGCCAACGTAGTGGTGGGTGCTTCTTCTCTCCAAGAGGCTACGGACCCTCTGCCTCCCCAAAATATTGTTTGTTATATTTATTGTTTCACCGGAACCAAGCAGCGATGTCCAGTAAGGAGAGGCAACCATTATGCAGTGCACTGCGCCGTGAAAAAGTAACATTAGTCCTTCATTGACCATACAAAGAGCTTTCAGGACTTTGATTTTCTTGGAGCTGCTCGCTGGGTTGAGTGCCGCCTGCAATGCGATTTCACGGTCAATTGTGTTCGGGGCATCACCAGGATATTCTTCAACGGGCTCTCGTGATGCCCTAGAGGCTTACTTTTCGTGCGGCGCGGCAGCGATTTTTCGTAATAATAGACTAGACCTATCGAAATCGCCAAAATCCATATTGACAAAAGGTCAAGTAAAACCATGGTGATGATGGTCTGCAAGGATTCATAACAAGGCGGGGACCATTGCATTCACACCCCGGTTGAGCTGTGACGTGCTGTTCTGCATAGCCGAAGTTAAAAAGAGTGTCCAGATCACGTCAGCCTTAATACTACAGTGGAAAAGCACTCAAGCTCCTTGTGGTGGCCTGGGATGCGTCTAGCGACACAGTAGAATGCACTGTCATGGTCAGATTGACAGTAGCTGAAGCCACGCAGCCCTCATAAGCCCAGCCTTTTTCAAAACCTTCAGCCTTCTGAACCGATTTGGACTGGTTTGACTATGGATGGTACTGTTGGAGGGCCTAAGGTCAGCGGT